AAATGTTCAGGTATTTTTTTTAAAGACATCATGTCCCTCCTTGCAACTGAAAATGCTTACGATCATCTATTGATGTGCTTCCGTTAATCTTTTTAGTTGGCATACAACTGATCTTAGTTGCATTTAGTATAGTTGATCTCCCTTTAAATAGTGGGACGTTGCACAGATAACTACTTTCAACCATGATTTACTCTGATCGTGATGTTGCAAAACTTGCAACCTGAAACCTTTTTCATCAGTCTGGCTTGCCAATAATACTCTTTTCATTTAGCTTTTATTACAAATGGGCCTCTTAAAAGAAAAATATTTTGATGCTCATTTGTACGCTGTGACCGTGGTTGCTGTCATGTGTCTTTGCCATGCTTTTATTCTGTATAAAATGCTACGTGTTTATTGTCTATTTTAAATTCATCTTTATCACAATGTGCACAAGCCAGGTAGAAAAAACCCTCTCCACCACTGACCTTGATCACACTAAAGAGCTGGTTTATTATAATGATACATGTACATGTGATGTTTACAAGTTGAGATCCCTCTATAGATATTTCTATTATAAGTTATATAATTAACATTATACCAATTTTAGATATAGATATTTTAATTATGACCATATAGTATTGCAAGTGCAACACCTGGTACATTCGGTAATTCTACCATTCAATGGCTGACTGCTTTTGAACAACTTACTGTTCATTTAACATTCCAAAATGTGGGTCTGCTGACTTCCTTTTAAAGATACCATAAAGATCACATCTGTTTGTTCTCGTTTAGGTCATGATTGAGGAGTTTACTAACTCTGAAGGCCTCGCTGAAGTGCTTCATGTACTGAATTGTGAGTGTTAATTTAAGATTTATATATAATACCATCGTGTCATTGCTACGAAGTTTCTACATAAAAAACCTTGGATGTTAAGATATTAGTGACCATTTCAGAAGATGCTCATGCATTGTTGACATGCACATTGGTCCTATGCAAATTTCCCATCTTCTCCGAAACAATTTAACATTCAAATACATTTATAAAATAAAATAATTAATTGAAAGGTTGTTTTTTTTTCATTTTGCCCATTGGTATAATGTTTGACTAACAAAGAGTTCTCTAATGCAGAGTATGTATTAAAAATATGAATTTAATCTGTATTCTTTCTCAATTTGTACCACAGAGGCAGTCATATTAAACGCTGTGTTAAATGGTTTGGTTTTTGCTCCGTTTAATACTCTCAAGATTTTACTGTAAAACTGAGCAAAGAACACTTCATAAGATGCTTAGGTTAAAAAAGACGAAAAATCCTCTGGTCTCAGATCTATAAGGGCTACGTTTTTTAGATATTTAATTTACTTTATTTGAAATGAATGAATTATATTCTTAATAACTTTAGAAAGAAGTCACTTCAGAGTTTAAAGCTGCCATACTTCATTTTGTAGGTGATTGTGAGCTATGCATGGATCAGTTCAATCCCTCTAGTGTTGGGTAATGTGAATGTCCCCAGTTTTGATCATCATTGAACTGCAAAGCAGTCTCGGATACATTGAGTTTATATGGGCATTGTAGTTGCTCTCTTGACAGATTTAGTTTGAATAAATAAAAAGTTTAGGACTACCATTATATGTCCATATAAGTTATTTTAAGCATATAAAAAAGCATGTTGTGCCACTTGAAAACACGGCAACCTTTGTTACAAATCCACAGTTGACTGTTTATTTCATAAAAGCACATTAACAATCCACATGAGTGTGTTTTCCATACAAGTCTTGCACTGAAAAAAAAAAAGTTGTTTACATGCCTCATCAATTTAATTTAGTCCTGTGTAAAGACTAACGTTGACATACTAAATACTACAATCACAATCATTTATATTTCTTTGTTCCTTCATACATTTCACATGATTGTTAACAAATAATCTTCCTATAAGATGTGGAAGTCACTGCCATTGTATCTAGGACATATTCTTCCAACAGCTAGTCTAATAAAAGTGTGCTGTATTAGGTTTAATCATACAGAACAATTAACGAGGCATATTCATTCCAGGCAGTAGAATCATGATTCTGTCCACTTTTCTTAAATGCATCCAGATTTCATTAAACTATTGTGGCCCGAACAGGTCAATCTCTTAACTGCATTTACATGTAAACCACACTCATTTAAAAACAAAAAAGGAAACTATACACATGTGGAGGCCAGTCCCATAATCATACATTATTATTATTATTATTACCAGTTTCTGGTATAGCTCAACAAAAGAACAGTTCTACTGGAAAATAACAGTCTCGGATACATTGAGTTTATATGGGCATTGTAGTTGCTCTCTTGACAGATTTAGTTTGAATAAATAAAAAGTTTAGGACTACCATTATATGTCCATATAAGTTATTTTAAGCATATAAAAAAGCATGTTGTGCCACTTGAAAACACGGCAACCTTTGTTACAAATCCACAGTTGACTGTTTATTTCATAAAAGCACATTAACAATCCACATGAGTGTGTTTTCCATACAAGTCTTGCACTGAAAAAAAAAAAGTTGTTTACATGCCTCATCAATTTAATTTAGTCCTGTGTAAAGACTAACGTTGACATACTAAATACTACAATCACAATCATTTATATTTCTTTGTTCCTTCATACATTTCACATGATTGTTAACAAATAATCTTCCTATAAGATGTGGAAGTCACTGCCATTGTATCTAGGACATATTCTTCCAACAGCTAGTCTAATAAAAGTGTGCTGTATTAGGTTTAATCATACAGAACAATTAACGAGGCATATTCATTCCAGGCAGTAGAATCATGATTCTGTCCACTTTTCTTAAATGCATCCAGATTTCATTAAACTATTGTGGCCCGTACAGGTCAATCTCTTAACTGCATTTACATGTAAACCACACTCATTTAAAAACAAAAAAGGAAACTATACACATGTGGAGGCCAGTCCCATAATCATACATTATTATTATTATTATTATTACCAGTTTCTGGTATAGCTCAACAAAAGAACAGTTCTACTGGAAAATAAAAAAAAATAGCAAACACCTTTTTTGCCTCTGTAAAGAAGGTTTAAGGGAAGGTCTAAATGAACACTTGAGAGTGACTATGAACAGGAGTAATACTGAGAAAAAGGCAGCAGTTGGTTTTTAAGGTTTAAGTCACCAAAACCTTGCACAAGAGGTAAAGTGTGGACTGCTATAGGTAGAAGAGAGGCATATGAAGAGAGTTGTTTAAACCCCTTAAAATCCGGCTATATGGTAAGGCTAAGCTAAGTATTGACTTCAAAAATTGAGCTGATATACTTCATCCTTAACTGGTTCTTTAAAAGAGCATTTTTTGAGTCTTTCCCATTTTCCCCAGGTTCCCTCCATTCTACCGTGAATGATGTGCTTCCCATTTTAAATTAATATATACTTTGAAAGAATCTAGATGAATCATACTTACTGTTTTATCACATATACAACAGGTCTTCCTAAGGAACGTCCCAGGAAAGACATCAGGATAAAAATGAAATAAAACAGTAACGAGACTTTTAAGGTACAGCAGCAAGTGGCAGGTCATTACTGGAGTTTCAGAAATGGATGTCTTCAAATACAAGATGTTGTTTTTACCACTTCTGGTAGAATCAGTGCCCCTGTTTCATTAGTTTCAGGACTGCAGCCCGGAAAAAGTTTTCTACTGTAGTATTTTGTTAATGAAAGATCAGTCTTCTGTTCTGCCAAATGTATGTTGTTAAAGTAACTTTTGTTGTGTACATTAGAATATTACAGGAACAACTTAGGCAAAACTGTCAATGACAGCCGAATCATTATCTAGAGTTAAATATAAGGAAAATACAAAGGGTTTTAAAGAGCAAACACTGCAGGGTAAAACAATTATTCACAATACTAAGAATGAATATAAGAAAAAATGTCGAAAAGCATAAAAAGCCTGAAATCAAGGTATGGAACTCTTGGGCTTACTGGCAATAACAAAATGGACAAAAGTACAGATTCTCTGTTTCCACAGCTCCAATACATTTACACTGAAGTAGGTATAATTTTAACAATTGTTTACTTTTACGATGGATCCAGCGACTTCAAATCCTCGACCTGTGACTCAAGATCTATTACCTGTAAAAAGAGATATTGTATATGACTGCTTGAATTTAATGGTCTAATTGAAATATTTATAAACTGTACATTATTTTTTTTTATTGATGTATTGGCGGTAAGCAAAAGGATTTGATCATTACTAAACATTACGGGAATCGTCACTTTACCTTGTCTTGGAGTTGTTCTGTTTCCTCCTTATGTGGTTCTGCCAAATGTATGTTGTTAAAGTAACTTTTGTTGTGTACATTAGAATATTACAGGAACAACTTAGGCAAAACTGTCAATGACAGCCGAATCATTATCTAGAGTTAAATATAAGGAAAATACAAAGGGTTTTAAAGAGCAAACACTGCAGGGTAAAACAATTATTCACAATACTAAGAATGAATATAAGAAAAAATGTCGAAAAGCATAAAAAGCCTGAAATCAAGGTATGGAACTCTTGGGCTTACTGACAATAACAAAATGGACAAAAGTACAGATTCTCTGTTTCCACAGCTCCAATACATTTACACTGAAGTAGGTATAATTTTAACAATTGTTTACTTTTACGATGGATCCAGCGACTTCAAATCCTCGACCTGTGACTCAAGATCTATTACCTGTAAAAAGAGATATTGTATATGACTGCTTGAATTTAATGGTCTAATTGAAATATTTATAAACTGTAAAAAAAAATTTTTATTGATGTATTGGCGGTAAGCAAAAGGATTTGATCATTACTAAACATTACGGGAATCGTCACTTTACCTTGTCTTGGAGTTGTTCTGTTTCCTCCTTATGTGAAGCTTCGGTCTCGTCTAGAGTTTTCTGCTGAGCTGTTTTCTTCTTCAGTAACTCAATCTCCCTGTTTGATAAACAGAAGGCAAAAGACACTAATAGATTTCTGAAATGATATTGAATGCTTCATAAAATATGAATTAATCACTTGGCTGTATATAATCATTTTGGCCCGATGACTAAAAGAAAAACATCTTTGAAAACAATCTAGTTTAAAATGAATGTGCCTAGTCCTTAGAAAATGTGGTAATTTTGACTTGATGAAATTGTGAAGTGAATCTCCTTGCATTTAAGATACACGTGTACATATTTTAATCATAATTGTAAACATTTTTTGTAATGTTTTGTTTAGTTTTTTTTCTTTCAAAAATGTGCTTCCTTACATTGACGTTGTCATTATAGAAGAATTGTATCTGACTTATCTGCATAAATAGCTTTTTTCATTTCGTTTTGAATAAATTAATTGAGCCAAACAAAATGAGTGTCAAATCATGCTGTTTATATAAATTTGAAATATGTGTGTGTGTGTGTGTGTGTGTG